ATACACCAAGGATGTAAGACTTATCCAAGATTGTATGTCAGAGCACTACTCAATGAAGTTAACCTGTGTGAAAGAGGTGGAGAAATTCCACCAAGGATGTAAGACCTATCCGAGGTTATATGTCAGAGCACTGCTTGATGATGTTAACCTGTGTGAAAGAGGTTGAGAGAATCCACCAAGGATGTAAAACATCCGAAGTTGTATGTCAGAGCACTGCTTCATGACGTTAACCTGTATGGAAGTGGTCAGATCAAATCCCTCTGGGATTGATCATCCAGTGATTGAGACACAATAAAGATTGTGTATTTCCCAAATCATGGATAAAGTAATTATATTCATTAGTAATTTATTTATTGTCATTTTTATCCTTTTTTTTTAATAATAAAATATTAGAACGGATTGAACAACACATTACTATGTCATGTAATACAATAAATATGACTTAGGGATATACAAGTTACATTGTACTCAACACATAAGATATACGTATGGGGACAACACAATGTTTAACTTGAAAGAAAATATTAGGGATATCAAAGTGACATCCTATTTGACATAAAAGAAACACAATGAAACAAGATAAGTAGTATTACTAATACAAATATACGAAGTGTGTGATCATTTAATCTCACCGACTATTTGAATATAATTCAATGGTTGTCTTTATTATTGTTGATTTTGTCCCCCAGTGTGATCAGCTTTATCTCGAGCAAGTGAGTTTTTTGATAAATTGTCGGAGATATCTTTATTGAATCAGCCTTTCAATTTCATCCTTAAGCTGTCTACAAGCTTCAGTAGTGTGTCCACGACTGCGGTGGAATGGACAATATTGTTCCTGATTTCCTTCGTCCAACCTTAAAGCATTAGACCACATAATATTTTCTTGATCTCGAATGTCATCAATATATTGGTTTGAGATACGTTGAGAGATGTATACTCTTCCTCTTGTCGAAATCCTTACCGTGGCAATGGAGGTCTAGGAGGCAGGCTATTCTTCCATTGTTTCTTTTGCTACGAGAATGAGTTATTCATTGTAGGAGCATTTTTGCAAGATTGCTCAAATTACTTTCTGTGGGCATTGATAGCTTCATCTACTGATATTTGTTCCTCCACACGATAGATCAAGTTAAAATATGAAGGAAACGTATCTCGTATAAGTGTCGAGTAAAAGGGGTCAGGACGAAAACCTCCAAGAAAAACTCCACTTAGCAATTCAGGATTTACTTCTGAAATTTGTCGAGCTTCCATGAAAAATCGCTGAAAATATTTGTTCAGTGATTCTTCTTCATTCTGGCGAATCCCATAAAGGTGGGAAGAATCCTTAGCAATTCTCCGATTGACAACAAATTGTTCAACGAATACTTCAGCCAATTTGATAAAAGTAGGGATTGTTTCAGTTGGAAATGAATAAAACCACATCGTGTTTGTCCCTTGAGGGTAGCAGAGAAAACTTGGCATAAGAGTGCATCTGAGGCTTGCTGGATATGCATGATGGTCCTATAATGATCGATATGCTCGTACAGGTCGGATGTCCTGTCATAAGAATCTATACTCGGTAGTTTGAATTCTACCGGAATTGGGTGTTAAATGATGGCTTCGGTCATGGGTGATGACTCCTATAAGTCCCACTGACAATGAGATTGCCTTATTCCCCTTATGGAAAACTCTTCTCGGATAAATCTTTATAATTCATGATGTAGGGCGTTACGAGGGAGTTCAGGCATCCGCAGGGATGCATCCCCGGTGAATTCAGCAATATGCTGTCGGGCTGAGTCCTCGGGGATGTCTGGAGAAAAGCGAGGTTGGCGACTTGCGTGTGAAGGATGGGTATAACTTGTTATGTCAGCAAGCTCATTTGCTTGATGTGTCGGAGGGCGCATCCTTGGCGGAGGAAGGGGAATCTCACCATGAAGATGTTCGGGTTGAACATCTTCGAGCCCTGGTGGATCTCATGGGAGAAGAATCTCTTCTTGAGGTGCTAGTGCCGGTCGTCGAGTCTCTTGCAGGAGTTAAAGGATCTCATTCTGAGATTCCTCCATCTTTCTAATGCGGTCTTCTAGAGAAGGTCATGAAGTTCCTTCTCCACAAGCATTATTCCCCCGGATAAAAAGAGACGGATGTCTGGCGTCCCTGGTTCATGAAAGGATTCATGTATTGGTGTGAGTTGGAGCAAGAGGCTCCCAAGATACGATTGTTACGTCTGTTGGCCATCCGAGTGGTGTTTAGGATAGTGGGATTGAGTTTCCCACAAACGGCGCCAAACTGTTGCGGGCTAGAATATACGCGGCGATAAAGTTATAAAGTTTTTGTCTCAGCGTTATATGGATATCCAGTACACAAACAAAAGATGAAAGAACACCAGGATTTTTACGTGAAAAACTCTGGAAAGAGAAAAAACCACGGGGCCACACCCAGTTGAAAGAATTCCACTAGTGTTTGTTTAAGGTACAAGAAACTGACTCGTCCTTAAAATTTAGGACGATCAAATTACAATGATTCACTCCCGAATTGAAAGACAGTTACAAACAAGTTGTGTATTCGAGCTGAATTCCAGAATCACTTAGAGATTAGACAGAATTCCGACATCACTAGGAGATCGGGCAGAGTTTCGACATCACTAGAAAGTCGGGCAAAACTCCGGCGTCATTTGGAAGTCGGGCAAAATTCTGGCGTGACTTGGACAGAATTCTATCGTTACTTGGAAGTCGGACGGAACTCTGGCGTCACTTGAATGTCGGGCGGAACTCCGGCAGTGATCGAGGAGTTTCTTCCCTCCCTTTCTTCTCTTCTTCTCTTCTTCTTCTTGCTTGGGGTCCCCTCTTAAGAGAAATGATGGGCTATTTATAGTTTTTTTAGGATGATATGACCTATAAATAGGAGGAGAATCAAGGACAAAGGTGGAGTGAATTGGATGGACGGCTGATATTGAATCCCTTGATCGTGGACCGTTCGTTAGACATTTGAAAGTCTTAATGATATCGAAATTTGGCAATCTTGGGCTCGTTGGATTCGTCACGTCGAGCCGCTCGATTTGACTATAAGCATGTCATATTTGAAAATTGTTTGGTAACCCAAATTGTGGTTCAAACTTTTCAATAGCGCTTCGGGTCCTTGATTTGGACCCATTTGAGCTCCGATTGAGTCGAATTTGGTGTCTTGGGGTTCATATTTTCGAGACGATCAGTTCAACTATAAGTTTGCTAAAATCGGAGTTCATATCCTAGATTTTATTTGCATTACTCAATTGTAACTATGCCAATATAATTGAACATTAATCTATGATTAAAAATAGCAGGTCAGATAATGAGCTCAATACTGGCTCATGTCGCATAAATTTTGTATTATTTGACAAAAATATCAAATAAAATTTGCCTCTTTCTCTTAGGCTTGATTTACACATCTTAGTGAAATACTGAAATTCTATTATCACCATAAACAGATTTGAATCCTATATGGTTATATCCTATCTCAAATCTTTGTGCTTATCTTCTAGAAAATAGATAATAATTATGCTATACTGTTTTTATATTAAGGGGTTGTTTGGCAACAAGTAGGATATAATTTTAGTAGGATTTAATAAATCCTGTAAATCTTGATTTAGTAAATTCTAAGGGTGTTGAATCTTGAAAACTGTTTAGTATGACATATATTAAATCCTGATAAATGTTGAGAAACTGTTTGACAACGTAACCCAGGATTTAAGGCGGTTGGTCCATTTGTAAATTAAATTTAATATATTTTGAAAGTGTCGGATTGGAAGTCGCGACGGGAGGTAGCTCACTCTATAGGTAACCATATTCACCTCCCCCTCCAAGACGGGAGCTCGCTCGCTAGTTCGCCGCGGAAGAACTTTGTGAATCCGTAAATGTCGATAAAGCCGCTGAACGGCAGGATATAGTAAATCCCGGATGTATGCCGTAAATCCGTAAATCGAGATTTATGCAGGACTCGAATTTATTGTACGCTCGAAAACTATTTGGCAGGATTTACCATAAATCCGGAGTAAATTCGGATGCAAAACCAATACCACAGAACCCCTAAGTGTGCAGTCAAGAATGTAAAATCTTATGATGGTCCATTTTCTTTAAATTAATTTGATATTATAATTTTTTTACAAGTAAATAGAAATATATATATTTTTTGTTACGTATTTAATAATTTTGAGTCAATTCTTGAATAAGAGCAGACTTGGAATTTGTGTTTCATTGTTATTAAAAAATGTAATAGATGATTTCAGCAAATTCAAAATGACTTCGTGGTAACTCAAATCAAGCCGTCTCAACTCGAAATATAATTTAATTTCAAGCGAGTTTAGATTTGTACAATTCAAGTTCGAGTCAAGCTTGAACTCTACTCGAGAATGACTTCTGACAGCAAATCAAGAGCGAACAGTTGCCAGCAAGGAGGAGGAGACTCGGGAAAGCATCGCACTGGCCAAAATTTTAAGGGAAAGCATTGCACACGATGGGCCAAAGCCAAAATTTCCATGGACGTGCTACATCAACCGCAAAAGCACAACAATCTACAATTTTCGTCGTTCTATGGTGAGATATACTGAGAATTTAAATTTTAGATGGGAAACCATATATAACACAGTATCCAACCTGGCATTTGATTTATATCCTTCATCAAAACAAAAATTGCTAAATATTTCTCTAGGCTTATGCAGATCTAAAAATTCGCCTATCTTCAATCAACCGTCAAAGTATTAATACGGTTAAAAGTAGGCTAATATTTATTTTTAGGACCTTCTATACCCATCTTACTGAAAACAAATAATTTGGTTCGGCATTACAGACATTTCCAGCGTACAGATACACTGGAGATCCTAATCGAATCCAAGAAGGAATGAGAAGTGCCCATTTCTACTGGGATTCCTATATTCGAGCAAAATCCACCAAATACGGTAGTCTTTATAGTAATACATCAGCTAATGTAAGCTTAAAAACACTACTAAGAAGGCAGTGACTGAAATCATGAACAAAGTAACAAAAGAATACCTCCAGCAAAAGGAGCTCGTCGGAGGAGGCAGAATCTCTGCAGGCGCAAGACATTATGCGAAAGCAGGATCCCTTAGACTTGGCCATTTCTTCCACCACTGCACTCTCTCGGGTTCTCCTCGAGGATTGCAACGAAGACCGAGCAGACTTCAGACCCAGTTCGATCTTGAGCTTACTCTCCCTCTTCCTCCGAGTGAGCCCATTTATTCTTCTTGCTTATTCGCAATCGCAAAGTTCGAAGCGGTAGAAATTAGAATTGAAATTCCTCTACTCATAAATCAGATTCAATCCCGCATCTCGCGTCCGTTTCGGTCCGCTACAACCGTATCAAAGTTTCGCGTCTGTTCCGGCCTGCTACAACAGTGAAAAGTTTCTCTCTTTTAGAGCCAATTGAGTCAATTTAATGCACATAAAAAATTCAAATTCAAAATCTCCTAACAAATACTTTGTATGGATAATTTTTTTTACTGATTTAAAAAATAATAAAAAAGTCATCTCAAACGAATTCAAAATGACAAGTTGAGCTGCCTACAACAGCAAAAAATTTTGAAGCCTTTTTCATTTTTTTAATACAAAGGAAAACTTGATATAAATCAGAAATTGGTCCTTTTTTCTAGGGAAAATTTAGGCATAGCCCATTTCATTAATCAAGAAATAAGGTTACAAAATAACAAAGTTATAATATAAAAAAATAAAGCTACATGAGCTGCATAAAAAATGGAGCAAAGCTCACTCAAAATTAAACAAAAGAGCTCCTAAAAAAGAGAAGGCGAAGGCTAAGAAAAATTGAAATTCATTAACTGTAAGGAAACTAAATAAAATCAGCACACCGGCCTAGCCTAAACTCAGAGTATGTTCTTTAGTACCATGATATTAGATTAGAAGAAAGGGTCATCTCCATTGATTGCCAAGATGACCATCCAAGGGAAAGAGGTATGGTATTTAAGGGATTTTCATCATCGTCCAGGTTGAAACCAATATCCCACCAGAATTATAATTGGGTGTCTTGCAGACAGAGCAGACCAATAACGACAGAGCCACCAAATTCAGCTTACAAATGATCTCAATAAACATAGGGCAAAAGCAAACGAGAAGAATAACTCCTGTGTGATACAATACCAAAAGACAGGAAAATATTAGAAATTTGAGATTCTCCCTATTTCTCCATTTGGATGCTTTAATATATAATTTTAGAGAAAGTAGTAGATATAATGCTACCATGTGTGTGACTGAATTTTCTATCATTCATCTCCCTCCATAAATAGCATATTGAGCATAAAAGATAGATATGTTTTGAATCAGATATTATATTATTCGTATCTAAAACAAAATCAAAAATTTGTAGCAGGCTAGATTTAAGAAGAAAGTTTTTAAGATCAGGGATCAACTCGATCAAAGATGACAGAAAATATGTAATCATATTCAAAAAAAAGATGAGTTGTGCTCTCATGCATGTAATAGCCTAAACAATAGTTTGATTCTGCTTGAATATTTCTCACAGATAAAGCATTAGCTGTCTTTAGTCCTCCATTAATGGTCATCCAAGAAAAAACAAAAAATCTCAAAGCATAGTGTTTATGCCAAACACATTTGTACCATGTAACATTAGGTGCATCTTTATAAAAATCTAGCATGTAATCTTTAAAAGATTTAGAGTTCGAATTCTTCCACGTAAGATACTTGCATGCTCAAGAATAAGGATGGATAAAATAACCACTGCAGCTTGCTCAGGGAAAGCAGCAGGTAAATTTTAGCACTTATCAACCATAATAGTCGAAAAAGAGGCTTTGGTATGGTATAAAGTAGAGAGTAGTAGATGGTCAGTTAAGTCTCTAAAATGAGTGCATTTACACCAATGATCTGAATAAAGAGAAATGGGAGAATTATATGTAATAACAAAAGAGAAGTTCAACTTTGATTTCCCAACAGTAAGATGAAAAGCATCAGAGTACCTTAAACTCATCCTTATGATAATACAAAGGAGCAACTCAACTTCTTAAGTTTCAACACAATCCTTGAAAGGATCAAATTGATCCTCCGAAAATAATTGTTCACCTTCTATGTCGTCGGTAAATATCATGCTTTATGCATCACTCATCAAAATAGCAAACTAAATCATGGAATCTAATATGATATATATAATATCTTTAATTTTTGCCCTTATATTTGAGGTGTTATAAGATGTTTATTATTTTAGGTATCAAAATTGTCTTTTAAATTTGTGTTCTTTTATATTCTAAATGCTGGTATTTACTAGTATATGTTCTACTTGAAGTCGTGCTGATTTTTCATTTTTCTATTAGAAATCCTCTTGATGGTAGAGTGTGGCTATTTTTATGTGCACTATATTATGCCTACCTCAAGATTAGAGAATATGATTGGTGTAAATGATTCATCTTTTTGGTTGTGCCTTTTGCTTTATGAACTTCAATTATATATATTATTGAATCTCGAATTCATGATTTTTTTTTAGTTTTAATTTTGGATTTTTTTTATCTATTTATCTAGATTGGTGGCTTCAATTATGCTTTTGAAAGTATCTCTTATATTAGACTTCTTGGTCATTATATTGCTTATTTATTATCAGGGAAGACTAGGTTATATTGTGTTTTATACGTATTATTGTCAATGAAATTTTGTTATTGTACTAGTTCATTGTAACTCTCAATGATGTGATTGTAATAACTCAAATATGTGAAATAAATTTATTTGGGTCATATTTATCAGTCATTCTTATTATGTATTTTATTTTCTTCATTGTAAGTTACTAATCTTTTACTTTTATTTTCAATGATTTTGATTTCTATGCATTTTATCTCTCATAAATCTACCAAAAATATATTATCTTCTGATTTCATAAGCATTTATCGTGTAAGTTTGTATATGTTATAGATTTAATTATTTTGAATGATTTGATTTGATTTTATTTCATTTTAAATGAAGTATTGAATGATATCAAATATATGATATGATAATTACATGTGATATCATACTGATCAGCATAATTCACTAATTTGGAGTTATAAGGAGTTGGAGATTGATTGAGAGTTATAATGAGTATGTGCAACTGATTAATGTGATTCAAGAGAATTTATAAGGAGTACATTAATTGAGAGTTATAAAGGGAGGCTGATTGGAAGTTATAAGTGTAGAAACAAGATGTTCTTAAGATACACTCATTAAATACATGAATACTAATACCAACACTGATATGAATATTGTACTGATATTGTGAATGATATTAGTATTGTTTTCTATCATTAAAATTATTTAATGTTATTGATCATGATATTAATATTCTTACTGATCGACATTAGTACTGTTAATTGTTACCGATACTATGATTGATAATGTAATGGATTGAGATGTGATGCTATAGAAGGATAAATTGATGCACATAATCAATATAAATATTAATGCATATATTCCTTTATATGATTTATAACATATTGTTCTCTTTTATCTTGCACTAATTTCAGATGTAAGATTTTAGTTACTTGTAGAGTTATGTGCTTATTACGTGGTTTTACATGTTTTTAGGAAAGGGTAAAGATCCTATGATATAAGGATCCGGACAAGATAAAAATGCAAGCATGTTTTTTTATGTTGTTCATTGGTAAACTCTAATTAAATGGTTAAAATAAATTACTGATGTAATTCTTTTAATATAAATATTGGAGTGTGACAGTGATATCCTTATTGATAAATGAATATGCTGAGAATGACCCTCAAATTTTCCAAAGAAAACATTATAGCTCAAATTATATTATACAATAGTGCAATGTCTGTCTGGGTTGTAAAACCATGAGTTAAAATCAACCTTTTTCATTTTTGGTCAGATGATTTCAAGTAATCACAATAATACACTAATGATTATGCAATCAAAACATTTTAATAACATATAAAAATTATAAATTTGTTAAAAATTTAATAATTATTTAGAGAGTAATATATACAAAGATAATAAATCTTAAAATTTATTTATATATTTAAAATATTTACATAAAAATATCATATATAATAATAGAGAGAGAGAGAGAGAGAGAGAGAGAGAGAGAGAGAGCACATAAAACCTCAAGAAATTGACCTCTAAAAAGATCCCTATTAATGGCAATATTTATCTTCGTTTTTTCTCATTCTCCTAATCAAAGACCAAGTCACAAGCATGATATGATACATATAATGGAACTTATGTGTGTAGCAAAATATGTACGCATGGCTTAACATCTTTTGCCTTCAACATGAAATGCAATTTATAACTAAGACTTTGTTTGGGATGACTTTCTAACTATTTTTTAAAGTATCTTTTTAGCACAAAAAAATATATTTTTGCGTTAGAAAGCTACTTTAAGAAACAGGAAGAAAGTCATCCCAAATGATGCCTGAGCATTGATTAAAACGCAATGATTGAATGTAAGCATTAAGTTAGATATTTGAAAATACTTCAGCTTGATTCATACAAGTAAATGAAAATACTTCAGCTAAGGGTGTCAATATTTGACACGATCCGAAAATCCAACCCGAACCCGACATGAAAATTTTGGGTTCAGGTTAGGGATTTTGACTCATTTGTAAAGTTGGATCGGGTTTGGGTTGACCTGGAAGCCGACACCAATCCGGATTGACCCGAAAATATTGCTTGACTAACCGTGTCTCCTCGGCGTCATCCCGATCTGCCATGTGACGATGACGCGAATGCACCGATGAAGTGGTCTATGTGCCGATCGTCGGGGCCGATTATCGGTCTGAGACTTGTACACTCTAACCGAATACCGATCATCCGCTTTCAGCTCCGACGTCCGGTCTGTGTGCTGGTGACGTGAATGTGCACGAACTTCGAAGCGTCGAAGAACTTTTGGTATCATTTCAAGATCATCGACTAATATTAAAAATGCACTAAAAACGTATAACTCTTGTTGAAAATGAAAAATCAAGCGAGAGAATGGCCAAGGTGTATCATTTAGACGACCTGCATATGTATCTCAGTACTAAATGTGGCTAGTAACCCATCAAACAAATTAAATTTAAGCTATCATGACCAGTTTAAAAACTTGACTTGGGAAAGTCCTCAAGGTCATTTTTGAGATCATATTCAGTAAGATCCTTAGCATTGAGCTCATGTCAAGCCAACCTATCTCGAAGGCTCCATCATATTGTTCCTCTTACGAGCACCTCGAGTACTTTGACGCTTTGTTGCCCTGCTCTCCAATATTTGCAAGACCGTCTTCAATTAAGACTTCGTTTGTGGCAGTTTTCTTATTATTTTTTAAAGCAAATTTTTAATATAAAAAAAATTTAACTAAAAATTTATATACTAGAAAACATCTTTAGAAAGCAATAAGAAAGCT